GAGAGAACGAGGAAGCCCTAACTCTCTCGCATATCTAACGTCGAATCTCTCTTTCTCTTTCTTTTCTATTTTCTTTCTTTCTCTTTCTCTCTCTCTCTCTCTCTCGAGGAAACAGAAAAGGGAAGATAGCAAAATTGAAATAGTATCTATCGATGCACACGTACCATTGTCCACGATGAAATGCTTTTGATCAATGATCTTTGAAAATCTATCAGAGAGGAAGACACGTATTTCGTGTTTCTAGTCGTTATTAGATTTACGTTCGTTAAAATGAATCCATTCGCAAAGTATTTGCATGTTCAATCGGCCTAATTTCTTCACCGTTAAAAATATCAAGGTAACTTATTACCGATTACGCAATATTCAGATATACGTTTAACCAATGCTACACGATATAACGTGATAAAAAAATAACTTAACATTTAAAAAATTGTATGCATACAGTTGAGATAAGAAAGTTCGCATGTTATTATTATTACGTTAAATTAATGCAAATGGATTATAAAATCGTGTATAATAATCATTCTTAATCGTAGAAAAAAAAAAAGTAAGTAAAAAATAAAAAGCCTCGTAATGTACGAAATGAAACGAACGAATTAAAAAAAAAAAGAAAAAAAGGAAATTCATAATTTATTTCTAATTAAGAGAGATATACGTGTCGTGTGTAAAGGGTATACCTTATATAAGGATCTAGGAAGTTATTCACGTAAGATACGTATGACGGTAAATCCGGGCAACGAGTGGACGTCATCTTCGTCGTGTTCGTCGTCATAGTCAGCATCGGTTTCATCCTCGAACGAGCAACGATCGTTCCCCGATGTTGGACGTACGTACCGTATACGAGACTGACAGACCGGAGGCTTTGCGTTCATTAGCCGGCTATTCAGTCGAACGAACGGAGGAACGAACGGGCGAGGGTGGATTTTCTGACTCCGGTGGCTGCTGGAATGCACGACGCGTTACTCTATCCTCTCTCGCACATAATTACACGCGTCTTTTCTAAACCCATCGCGAGCGTATCAGAACCAAGTCGTGTTACCGCTTCACCCTAAGCCCTATGAAAATGATACCTTCACGATCTATCCATTACTGCTGTATCACCGAACAAGAGAATGGATCCACGTCGTTTTGATATTTTAACAATAAATCATTCTCTAGATATAATTTATATCTTTTATTTTTCGTATAATTTTTCTTTCTATCTATATATTGTATATATAATTCATTAGTACAGATGTTTTATCTTATCGTTGTATGACAAAGGATTGAAAAATGTATTCTACAAATACGTGATACATCTGCATCGTCGGATAAACCCAGATTTTCGTTATTTCGTCAATTTATTAAATTTGCCGTTACGTCGTGTTCCGCGTAACACGTGTTAACCATGCTATGATTCGTTCTACCATTATTTTCTTTTTTCTTTTCCTTGACCTGTTTGCATATGTCGTACCTTCACACATTTTCTTGTCCTTTTTCTTTTCCCCATTGTCTCGCATCTTCCTACGTGATATTTACCATAATATGATTTAACGGATTAATTCAATTCCGTGACCGGAAATAATAAAAATAAAGTTTTGGGGGTTCACGCGTGACCAACGTGACTTTTCTTTTATTTTCTTTTCTTTTCTTTTTGTGAAATATGTTAAAAGAGAGAAAGAGAAAGAATGAGAAAAGTGGAATGAAAATTTTCTAGAACTTATTCGAGCTATACTACTTTTTAATTGATACCGACAAGCGTCTTTTATCGCACGATAGCATAAACGTTTAGAAGATTTATCGTTAAACGATATACCGTATCGCTATCGAGTGTATACGTCAATCCGAATCTGCCCAGTCATTCTCATGATATTACAAGAATATCAATTAACTCTCGACTCCTGGATTATGACAGAAGCGAATAATCTGTCCGTTGAAAATACGATAGAAACATTTTTTTTCTACGAGATCATCGTTGTTTGTTTCTCAAGAAAACTGTATTACTTTTTAATCGTAAAAATAATTTAATAAAATAGAATAAAAATAAACATATATAATTTTGACAATAATTTCTAAACGGATATGTCAGTAATTATTAATTTTGTTGAAAGAACGAAACTATCATAATAACTACGTTTAGAAAAGTAAAATTTCAAGTGTGTTAATAAATGTTAAACAGTTAACTAAAACAAATAAGTATTTCGAATTTGTGTATAAACGAAACGATTAAAGATTAAAATAGTACATAGGTATATTTGTGGGAGCAAACGAATGCAGACTCCGAGACTGCTGAACGGGATAATCGATGAGTACTTTTAAGTTTCTCTCTCTCTCTCTTTCTCTCTCTTTCTCGGCTTAAGTTTCTCCGGAGAGAACACAATGCGAACGCTAAGTCTTTACCCCGAGCGCACGCTCCAAGTTTTTCTTCCTTCTTCTGTAGTTTTTTTTTTCTTTCTTCTTCCTCCAACTCCTTTCCGCACTGCAATGAGAAGGAAAGAGAGAGAGAGTGAAAGAAAGGAAGATGGATGAGAAGAAGAAGAAGAAGAAGAAGAAGAAAGAGAGAGAGTACGCTACTTACGAGGGCAAAGGGCCAAGGCGAGATGAGGGGGCCGACACATTGTCTGCCGATTCTTCGAGGATGACTGGTCGTATTGAGAAACCGGAATCCCGAGGAACACTAATATGGCATAACTCAGGGCACTCGCTGTGTCTAAAGGTTTTCGTCGAAGGGCATATCCAACCCATATAGTCTCGAATCGTGAATTCCACCAAAACTCCTGATTAGATTCGCATAGATATTTAATATATATTGTACGTTATGTTTTTTTGTATAATAATAATATTTTTGTTCAAAACTTTAATATAATCGATCAAGAAATTTATTTTATTTTGCGTATAAGAGAATCCTCGTCGTTCGATTACGTTAAGAATACTTGTATATACAATATTACGCGCGTATACGTAAAAAGTATATATTGTTATTTTTTCAAGAGAAATATTTTTCAAAAATATCGACCTAACCAAATCCATGGATTTCAAAACTAAACACGATCAAAATATATAGTTATATATATGTATATGTATATGTATAGCACGTTCTATATATGTATGTATAAATCCCGTTCGATTCGGGATGGAATCTTCGATCTCGTCAGGCTTCATCTTTTCTTCGCGACGGATGCGTTCTAATAAAAATATTTTCCCTTCGTCTTGTATATAAGAGAGGAGAAAAAAAAAAGGAAAAAGAAGAAAAAAGAAAAAGAAAGAAGAAGAAGAAGGTATCGAGGATTTTCGTCAAGATCGATGACGCAACGAGATCTCCAATTTCGAAATAGATTCTACCAAGGAAAGTATTCATAATACCGAATTGTCGTAATTTTCATTTTGCAAACTCGAAAGATTTTACTAAATTTCTCTATTAATATACATATATATATATATACACGAATAATTAGAAAGAAATATTACTGGAATGTAATTCAAATGTAAAGAAAAAAAAAATTTATTGATAAGTTTGAAATGAATTGTACGTCGATGTAATTCCAACGTTAATCAATTTAATCGATCAAATCTATTATCGTTTCAAATTATTATTATCATTATTATTATTATTATTATTAATTTAATCGATAATAAACGCGAATAGAATGAACGAAAAGAATTCTAGTTTCTTAGAACGGAATTTTATAAGAAGGTTGTAATCGATAGAAAGGTGGGGTGGAAATGAGTGGTGTGAAAAGTGTACGAGTAAGTAAAAGAGAGAAAGAAAGAGATGAAGAGAACGACGAGATGGACATGAACGAACGAAGGTAGCTATGCCGGTGGAACGCGAGCAAAAAGTCCTTTTCCAGCGGAGCTTCTAATAGAGGCACGTGACGATGCACTATCAGCGACCTTTTCGTTCACCTTCTTCTGGTCCATCATCTTCCACTACCTTTCCACCAGCTCCTAGGCGAGAAGGTACGGCGGTATACCCGACTCGTGCGCCCTTTGTCTCGGCGGACGTTCATCGTCGGGATCCGAAGGAAGAAAACGAAAAGAAAAAAAGAAAGGTAAAAGAAAAAGTAAAAGTAAAAGAAGAGTACATAGAAAGGGATGACGAAGAGAGGAAGAAGAAGAAGAAGAAGAAGATGGTGGAGGAGGAGGAGGAGGAGGAGGAGGAGGAGGAGTACGAAGCGTTTCTTCTCTCTACGGTGTTCGCATCTTCGATAATTATTATCCGTTGCAGCAACGTCTCGCAACGTCTTCTCTCGGTCTCGTCGCGAACGTGCAATCACGATAATAGTGGTTACCTTGAGAAAAAAAAAATAATAAAAATCAACAGAGAGAGAGAGAGAGAAAGAGAGTAGTTACGTGGTCATTACATCAAAAGGGACAAACCAATTCGCAACTCGGAATAGAATGAAGAACGAATTGGCATCGTTAATTAAATAACGAATTACTGTGTTACGATGACAATATTGAAGACAAGACAAAAAAATTCTTTATTATTTAATGAAAAAAAAAAAAAAAAAGATAAAATAAAAGAGAAGAGAGTAATTCGATCGGTCCAATGAAAGCAACCTGCGCGAGCAGTGTGAAATCGTCGTGAGAAAGCATCAAACTCATTTCTTTTTCTTAGCCAGGTACTGCACGTGCTAGCAACCAGGTAAACAAGTAAAGCAACGCAAATGCTAACCCAAAAAAGCGTTGTACAACTTCGAATACCAACTCCACCTTCCTCTTATTCTTAAACTAAAAGCTCAGGTAGCCGTCGGCGGCCGAGGCTGTCCTTCGCGGAGCCCTTCCTTCTTCTTCTTCTTGCAGGGTACGAATCCCGAGGACGATATGCACGATGTCGGGCTAGATGGATGCTGCCAAGAATTTGTTCACAAAGGATTCCGCCTGTTCCTCTTTTTTTCCCTCCTTCTATCTCTATCTCTCTCTCTCTCTCTCTCTCTCTCCTTGCACCCCCGCAACCGTCTCCTCCCCTTATGCGAACTCATTCATCGGCATCGACTCAATGTAGATTTTTCCCATAGGTAAGCTTTTCGAAACACGGTCCGGACCGACCGGAGAAGGACGGAGGGGTGCTCGAGGTAAGAAGACACCCCCGCGGAGAGGCGGTTCCTCGCAGAAGAGGAGGAGGAGGAGGGCTAGGAGGGTTAGGAACGAATGGTTGTGAGAGGTAGCTGCTTCTGCTGTTGCTGCTGCTTGCACGCAGCCTCCGGAAATCTCTACTTACACTCGCGAGACTGAATGCTTCTTCTTCCCTTTATTTCTCTCTCTCTCTATCCTATTTCTCTTTGTGTCGTTATTACGGACGCGCACACGCGGCTCGCAGTAAATCGGACCGACAGATCCGATCTACTCTTGCTTCTTCTACTTACTTATCCCTCTTTCTTCCTCTACTTTGTTCGGTTCCTTCGACATCGTGTTTTCTCTACACAACCATCGTAATACACCATCCCCCTCCGCCCCCTCACCCCTGTTCGCTTTGTTTCCATCACAAAACCTTTCGTGTTATTCGAGAAATTAACACTATAATTTAGTATATATATATATATATATATATCATATAATAATATCGTTAAATATATTATATGTAATATGATTTTTTTAATATATAACTTGAATGTGTGTTACAATGGTATTATTAGTAACTTCGTACTTTCTCGTAATTATTTCTTTCTTTTTTTTTTTTAACATTCGATTGGAATAAAATAATTTGATTTATTTTGTTCGATCGAATTATTTCCAATGGATATAGAGAATCTCTAACATGGGAAAAATAATCTTCATTTATAAAAGAGAGACTCTTCGACACAACAAGTTGAGGGAAGAATATTCTTTAAGAATGGAGGAACCCTTCCGTACACTCTTTTCTTTTTCTTCTTTCTATTTTTTCTTTTTTTTTTTTTTCTCCTTTCGTTCTAGAATCCATCCGGTAGTCTGAACTCTGATGTGTATTTTGATAGAGGGTAAGCACTATATTTGTCCATCTTGATTCGAGGTCGATATAACGTGGAGAAAGGCGGAGGATACCGTTCAGAGGGAATGAGGAGAAAGGGTGAGGAGAAGGAAAGCACTTCGATGTAGAGATAATGGCGGTGTATGTGGACTACGTGAAGGGTTGCACACGTTTTCTCTCTCTCTCTCTCTCTCTTTCTCTTTCTTGATATAAAGGGTTCAACGCCAATGGAACTGTTTAATTTGGGCTTTGTAAGGGAACAGGAGGGCAACACAGATCCACCACCCCATTCCATGTCCTTTCTCTATGTGCTTTCGTAGATGCCGTGCGGTTGATAATGTATTTCGATTTCGAAGAGATAGTCGCCAATTACCCAATACTGATCTTTATCTACACTTACATATATCTACACACACACACGCGCATATGTATATATGATTGTATAGATAATAGTTTACGATTTGGATGATGGATTATAATATTAGATGCATCATCGTGAAATAGAACTGTCTAATTTTCGTTCATTGATCTTTAGCTAGGCATCGGTTGTAAGTAAATAATTAATTCCATGTATAAGAGAAAGAGAAAGAGAGAGAGAGAGAGAGAGAGAAAGAGAGAGGGAGGACTTATAAAAATTGAATGAAATTTTTAAGATCAACATAGGTGCGGTTATATCTAAAAGAATTTTTTTTTACCTTTTTATAATATAATCTTTTGTATAGGAGAAATAGAAAAATTTGTGATTTCTCTTCGAATCCTAAATAAATAATAAAATGTCAGATTAACATAGAACGATTCTGAAAGATCATCAATCTCTAGTCGAGGCGGTCACGTTTAAAGGAGAGAGAGAGAGAGAGAAAGGAAAAAGGGTTTCTCGATTTTTGTAGATTTCTTTTTTTCATCCATAAGAGTCTGTTACCAATTTTGTCGCCAGGGATGGTCGCATAATCGATTACATCCGTCGGCCGTCGGCTAAGTTTTTCTAGTCCACCATTATCTCTCTCTCTTTCTCTCTCTCTCTCTCTCACTTGTTGTTTACCGCTCGTCACCGAAGAGAGACACATTGAAAATTAATGTTGGATTCGAGCGTGACAGTGCTCGTAAAATGTGCGCTACGACCTTTACATAAATTATCATATTTAAAACGGTAACCTCGAAAATGCTATAAGGCGTTAAGGAACGCCACGATGCGAAACGAATTCTCATAGACGCCTGTGTCGTCGTCCACCTCCCCCTACCCCTTTCCTCTTCCTCATACCACCTCACACCCACCCACCGCACAAATTACATTTACGAAAAGACTTTGCAACGCACACGTTCGTCCGTGACGTTTCAAAACACTTCGACGGGAAATCAAAAAGCCTAGAATTTCGACGTTTAATAACGACGTTTCCATGAACCTCAAACTTTTTGAAAGATAAATAAAATACTAAAATAAGAAGAAAAACGAAAGAAAACGCGAAACAGTTCTAAAAACGATATAATAATATATTCTGAAACTCAAACGAAATTACACCGGCAAAAATGCGCACACGCCCGTGATATAACATATTTTCAACTCGTCTAGACGCATCGATAAATAAATAATAAAGCGAGTGCTACTGTAAGGCAAATGTCCATTTTTTTTTCTGTTTTTTTGTTTTTTTGTTTTTTTTTAATTAACATTCGTTACGAGTACTCGACTTAAGAAAAATTCTATTTCATCATTCGGCTTGTGCACCTGAAATTCATCCTCATGTAAGTCTAACCGGTGGTATATCTTTACTGTAAAAGGAAGACATCGTCTACGACGCGTAATGCGAGCCCCGTTTATTAATAGCCGCTTATAATTGATCATTTTACGTAATTAATGGGCAGTTAATTAACGTCGACGTATTCGGAAGACGCATCAACGCCGGAATGCAGCTGAACAGCACAGCACCCTTCTCGAAGATTTGACCTTCTATACTATCTCTATCTCTCTTTCTCTCTCTCTGTCTCTCTTTCCCGTTTTTTATTTTTTGCTTCTTTTTTTTTGATTATTATTATTATTATTTTTCTTCCTTTCTCTCTTCGTCTCTCTTAAACGATCCTTTTTCTTCGAGATAACGAGAACGATCGATCAAAACGACTCTTTTCAAATCTGGAAGTCGCTAAAGTTTCTTCTCTCTCTCTCGGAGCACAAACGATATCTCGTTTTCAACCGGAACAAACTTCTACCTTTCGATCTATACGAGCGCTAATTATAACTGCGTCCTACTTGCTGCATGATGAAATGTTACAATTTCTACACCTCTGCGTACATGTATATATATATGTTCTTATATACATTTATGATACGTAAAATGTAAGAATTTATTCGTCTAATCATATTGACATATTAAAGAATAAATCTATTCTAACACAGATTTTTAAGATATATTTCGTAATTATTTTTCTTTGAGATAATATCGGACGAATTATTAAATGTATCTACATCAGAAAGAAAGAAAGAAAAAAAAAGAAATGAAACATATATCTTTAGAGATAGATCAATGATTTAATATTATTATTTGGGCTCACTTTTGGCAAGTGCCACGATTCCCATAGTTTTCTTCGTCAGAAAAGAAGTTCACCTGCTACCACCACCGAATGCGTACTGATCTCTTCACCTGTTGCGTATTGTTGCTCTCGAGGCAACCCGATTTGCACGGTGAATGCACTTACGACCGTCTATCGAGGGCCGTATGAAAAACGCGAGGTGCCACGTTACACACACACACACACACAGAAAGAGAGAGAGAAAGAGAAAGAAAGAAAGAAATAAATAAAGAAAGAAAGAAAGAGAAAGAAAGAAAGAGAGGCCACCCCTCTTGCCTCTCCCTTTTCCGAACAAATCCCGCCTTGAGAAAAGAGGAGCCGTGAATGCGCACACTCGCTCGCTCGTTTCGTTTCGTTTCGTTTCGTTCATTCGTTCGTTCATTCGTTCATTCGTACACTCTCTCGCTTATGCGCACGCGCACGTGTTCCTCTTCTCTCTCTCTCTCTCTCACTCTTCTTTGATCGCGAATTCTATTAGAACTCCATACAACTTCCATACAACTTACTTCCTCACGATGAAAGAAGGTCCCAATTGTGTCTCCCAGTTGTTGACTCCGAGGAAAGCAAGAAGAAATTGACTGTACCTACTACTACTACTCTCTATACACACCACCATTGCCCTGCCGACTCCTTTTTATCGACATAAACCTTTTTGCGGATTCACGAAAAACCGCCACGTGGCTAATCCCACTTTCATTCTTTCTTCCTTATTCTTTTCTCCTCTCTCTCTCTCTCTCTCTCTTTTTCTCTTTTTCTTTTTTCTTTCTCTCTTCTAACTTCTTTCCTTACAGTAGTAATGGTGAACAATAACGAAATTGCTTCTTACACTGGGACAAATCCTGATGATCCTATATAGAAAAGAAATAAAAATCTAAAAGATAAAATGAAATCTTTGAACGTTACATTTGTTACATTTTACTATTAACGAAATGACAATCGTTATAATTATATTGTATGCAAGTATTATATTATATGCTTATATATATACAAATATTCACATTCGATCAATCGTTTCGTCAAATTTTTTATTTACAATTCCTCGTATCTATGATACGACGACAATTACCCCTCGCGTTTTACACCTGATTTGATTACATTGCGAAAACGATTTCTCCTTTTAAACGGGGTGACATCGAAACGACTATCGTAGTTGGTTTCGATGAAATACCACAGAGAAAGTTTTGCCGGAACGCTTTTCACGAGTTTCCATGATCGGCGGCGGGGGTGGGTTGGTTAGTAGGAATAGCGAAGGGGGAGACATAGAAACGTAGAATCGCTATGGTGCCGTTTCCCTTTTGTCGAGTTTTGAGTATATCGGCCTGAAATTTTCATTTGAAAGTAAAGTTATAAACGATCTTTTGGCTTTCCTCGTTTCGTCTCGTTTCGTTTCGTTTCGTTTCGATACCGTCGAAAAGATATCTAATAAAATCTAATAGATTTTATAGATACTTCGAAAAGAGAGTCCTTGCGATCTTTAGAAAACCATCGTCCGGTCATTGAGATGCCTATCATTTGCGAAGCGTGCCATGTAATTTCTATAGAAATTTTTGGGTAAGTTGGAAGAATGCGGATGTACACGTGTTCTTGTGTGGATATATGTGTGTGTGTGTGTGTGTGTATTTGTGTGTGTCTATAAGAATGAAAGAAAGAATGAAAGA